TACCAAAATTTCAAGATATTTATTTTAAGATAATAATGAACATTCTGGGTGAGGTTGTGGCTCAGCAAGTGTTAGGCACTTGGTTCAATTCTCAGTACCACATATCAATAAATAAAATAAAGGTCCATTGATAACTAAAATATTTTTTAAAAAATAATGAACATTCTGACACTTTTCTTTTGAATAATAAATAAAGGTCTTTCACTTTTAAGTATTTGTTCCAATTCAGAAAGATTAATTTTATGAGTATACAATACATGGCTGTATGTAATCTCAGAATGGAAGTGTATAACTATAAGAATCTATTTTGAAAAAAGTTAATTCAAATAGCTAATTTAATGGGTAAATTACTGGCAAATTAGAATGACTTTTGTGGGATAGGTGCCATTGAGTTACTAAAAAAAAATGTGTTATGACTGAAGTAGCACAGGGAAGAGATTAATATCTCTGACTTGAAATGAGGAAACAGGTACTTTAAAAAAGTGATATTTTGAGAGGGCTTAGAAAAACTAATATATGAAGTATTTCAGAATAAATGACAGCTAGCCAAACTTGAACAGTGTTGCTTTACATGTAGATCTGACATATAGGTCAGACAAATAGTATCTGAAAACAAAACAGAATTAATATTTTTCTTACTTCACAGTGATTCACAAATCACTTAGAATTTGCTTTAGGAATATTCCAAGTTACTCAGAGGAAGTTTGGGGAGTTTGAAAACATCAAATAATATGTTTCATTATTAATTTTCAAAACAAACCATTGTGGTTATCACATTTTTTTTAATCATGATAAAATTCATTTAGAAATGTAATCTCTTTTATCTAAAAATTAAGTGATTTGTTATTTTAGAGCATATGTCTATATACGTAGATATACACATATATACAAATACACACATAAAACATTTAAATACACACTTAAAAGGTAAAGTTCTCAAATGTAAACATGAAATATTTTTTAAAACCATTGTGAATAAGAAAAAACCTAAATGATAGAGGTAAAACTGATAAATACTCTGTAGCAAACTGTCTCTAAATGTTACCTGTAGATTTAATAGAAGTCAGCAATCAACAATGCTAACAATACTGTAACAATTTTCATTCTACTGGAACTGACAGATGATCCACAACTGCAGGTTCAGATTTAATCTTTCTATTTCTTACCTACGTGTTAAGCATAAGTGGAAATATGACTATTATCTCTCTCATCTTAGTGAATCCTTGCCTTAAAATAACCATCTACTATTTCCTACAAAATTTTGCTTTCTTGGAGACCTCATTCACCTCTGCATGCATTCCCAGATACTTATATAACATAGCAACAGGAGACAAGATGATTACCTACAATGCCTGTGTCAGTCAAATATTTTTTACTGTCCTCTTTGGGGTAA